TTCCCCCCTCTTTGTTGCTGCCTCACCATGATTTTATTTTGAAAAATAAAGACTAGAATAAAAAATATGTTGTCTGAGGCTTTCAGCCAAAAATGTGCCAGCACTTTCCCTTCCCACCCCACCCCCCCCAAACTCCTTAGGCCAAAAGCCTTAACAAAAGCTGTTTTCTGTTTGGAAGATCTCCGGGTCCTTCGCTCTCTTTCCTAACCCCTAACACAGGAAATGATTTTATAATTCACGTTATTAAGGAATTTGACTCACGCTTCCCCCCCCACCTTCCCACCCCATTCCCTGGATGTCGACCGACAATAAGCCTGTGGGCTGGCACCCGTCCTCCCTCACCCGTTTGTGTCAGCTCCTCTACCTGACCCTGCCCGTAAATCGTCTCGCCAGACCTCTCTTGCGGGCGGGCGGCAGCCAGCTCTCCCCGGCGTCCAGCCGCGCTTCAGCGCCTGAGCACCCGCTCAGGCTCATGCTTAAAATGAGATACCTGCGAGCCGAACAGCGGCCGCTCCCCAGCTGTGCGTCGTGTGTCCCGACCCACCCCCCGGCCCCGAACATTGTGTTTCACGTGTGTGGTAACGCCTGTCACGCCGAAGACCGCGCTAGCAATTGGGAGGCAATAAAGGGGTCTCCCTTGGTAAGAACTGAAAACCGCATCTCCTGAGGCACTCCAGAAGGAGAGGGCAGGTGATGCGACGGTCCGGCGTCCCGCAGCAAACGTGGCGCAGGCCTGCCAGCCTGGCACGCTCCCATGCTCTAAAGCCAACCAGGTGATGCCGCCAGCACTGCGGCCCCCGGGACCTCTGTGGCCGCCCGCCCTCCGTTGCTTCGGAGATGGGCTCTGAAATGGGTCGGTATTTACTGCAGAAACTCTGAAGCCATTTTGCGAGCAGAAGCAGACGACCTTGTTCCGGGAGAGAGCCTCAAGCACTAACTCGAGGGCTGTACTCCCTCTTCTCAGCCATGCGGATGTCGGATTTCCGTCTCTTCCACGAAAAGCACCTCTTCTGCCTCTCTTGGCATAGCTCGTGTCCCGGTCGGCAGACCAGGAGAGATTATATCCCCTCAGTCCTGGCCCGGGACATGGGAAGGGATGAGAGCCTCTCTCCGCACCTTGGTTTGTGCGGGCCTGTGTGGGCTTTATTCCTGCAGCTGGAGAAGGGGAGTGAACCTGGGTGTCCAGGCCCCTGGGCAAGCCCCCGAACCACAACGCTCTTCGGGAAAAGGCGGCAGCATGCCTTCTTCCTCAAGCCTTTTTATTTACTAAATGAGTGCAGCAAGGTCCTTCAAAGAAAAAGTGGCCCTGCTGAGGGGTGGGGATCGCAACACACCTCTGTCCTGAGCTATCTTACCAGCTAATAACAACCAAGCTTTCCCCCCCAGTTTGGGCAGCGTCCCACCTGCAGCGTGGGCCGCCCGGGCGCTGACGAGCCCCACGTAGGAGGCACAGGCGAGGCTGCCCCTTCTCCTGTGACAGCCCGGTGCCTGGGCGTTCGGTGTAGGGACACACAGATTTTAGGTGCTTGCACTATTTATAAGGAAAGGTCTTGGTCAGTGCACCTGGCTGCCTCTCAGTGTCTTGTATGTCCTTGGAAAACTCTTTCAGGCAGAGCAGCGGGTGAAGTGGCTGGGACACTCACCGGCTCCGGCAAATAGATGATGCTTTAGACACCAGGGAACATCTTCGAGAAAAGAGACTGCCAGAGGCCCAAGTTACTCTTTTTTTTTTTTTTGCTTCGTGGCTGGGACAGCTCCCTGCAGCATCACAGAAGTTCAAGTCCCAACAGGACTTGACTGGCCAATGCGGCAGGCTGCGGAGCACCCCTGCGACAGAGAGCCCCTCGCCCTCAGAGCTGCGGCAGCACCCCGCAGCCACCATCCACTGCACCTCCGAGGGTCTGCGCTCCCACTGTCGCTGGAGGAAAATGGCTGGGAGCTGCTGTTCAGCTCAGTTTTCACAGTGTTTTGCTGGTGCATCCTATGCTTTGTGAAAAATATTCCAGGGGTGCTCAAGGTAGCATTGCATTTTTTTGCCCAGTACCACATAAATGACAAGTAAAAGATGTGCAAGCCTGTGTAAACTTGTTCTACCCATTTCCAGACATCTGAGCAGGTATGTTCAACATGAAGCAGGTTCAACTTGATCCCCGACTCTCTCTCCCCCTGCTGCACGCATGTGTGTGGATACTGCCCGAGTACCACCTTCCCATACTCACAGATCCCAAACATCGTCAGCTGTGGGTGGGACTGGAAGGCAAAGCAGCTGAAGGGGCTGTGTTTTATTCTGAGTTATACCTCTGTAAATCTAGAGTGGTTCCAGGGGAACCAACCTGTACCAGCACCATCAAATTTGTTCTTAGTCTGAGCACAGAATGTTTGTCATAGTTGTTATTAAATGATGCCTTTACATATTCCAGGCCTATTTTTAAAACAAAGGCAATGAAGTTAGGGCATCCAGTTCTATATATGGACACTCCAAATGGCACTGAAATGCCTCATGCATGTGTTTGGCTGAGTGTTGATTTGGGTGTCCAAATATGGACCTCAGAATGGGATATCTCACTTGGATAAGCATCCTTGCAAATTTGGCGCACAGCATGCACTTGAACAAAGCAAATTTCTTTCTATCATTTAGCACGGGAAAAGCATGAAATATTTTCCTTTTGAGGGACTTTCTTATTCACGGAATTGGGCCACTCAAACACTGATGTGTGTAGTAGTTCTGGAAAAAATAAAGCACTCAAAATCATCTAAGACAACACAGGAGGTAATTAATGCAGAGCGTTTGCAGCACGCAGACCCCCTCTTATCGCAAGGGCAAAATTCTCGCTGACAGCAAGAACTCAGTGCCAGCAGAAGGACCTGTGCAGCTTGATCACAGCAAACTCCCCGCCTTGTCCCGGCGGTGTGAAGGGATGTACACTGGGCCGGCTGCTGAGGGACCTGAGGCAAAGCTGCCTCTCTGCTCGTGAAGAGAGTCTCTGCATCTCAAAACTGCGTGTGTGCAAGAGCTGGAATGTTGCACGCAGGAACCTTCCCCTGTATCTCCCAGTGCATCAGGATTTTCTTCATCTGGCTCCTTGATGGTGAGCTCTCCAGGAAAGAGCTTGGCTTGACTATTAGGTCTTAGTGCGTGATAAATAATGTCAGCAGTGAGCGAGCTCCGTTCTGCAAGCCTTTGCTGAGTTCCTGTTAATTGTGAAGGACCTTCTTACATCCTTTGTATAATTCCATTCATTTTGTTGGCATCGTACAAGGGATGGATTTGGCCTCAAAAATAAAGCAGGTTTCTTTTGCATAATGTATCGTACCATTTGGTCTACATTTTACTGAAGGTTTATGTGTACTTGGAGATTTCTCCCCAGATATGCAGCTGTAGATATTTTTAAAAAAGCAAACAATGAACTGATTCAACTGTCCAAAGCAGTTGTTCAGATTCTGAATTTTGGGGTAAGTTGTTAAGAAAGTGTAAGGTGGGCAAATTTTCAGGAATGTTAAGGTAAGTTTGTGATGACTGGAAATGCAAGAAGCCAGCTTTTTCCCTACCTCTGCTGTCCTGATGATTTTTGACAAGCTGATTCCATTTCTGGAAAAAGCAGTTCACGAGAGAGAAAGATTTCTCTAAAGAGTCTGTTGTTTTTCAGAAGAGTGAAAATGTGTGCTAACAATTCTGGACCACTGACAAAAGCAAAATCAATACACACGGCCTTCATTTTACAGCCAAGTTCAGATGAATAAATAGAGATGCAGCAAGCTGTTTACCAGGGAGACAAGCTTTGCTCTACGTGCCCTTCCAAGCAGGCATGCTTTTGCTGTTGTTGTTTGGCTTACATGGCTGGTTAATGAAATCTGTCAACTAGTTACAGAGCTCACCGGACTTTTCAAAGCCTCCATCAGCAGCGCTGGCTGTGCTGGCCAAGAGCTGGGAAGCAAACACTATTGCATGAGGTAGCTCAGGGCCTGCAAACATGTTGCTGTTGCAGAGTCTTGGGGGCATTTGGGAGGAATTTGGTGCTTTGAAGAACCTAGGCTTGATTTCAGGGGGACTTCATGCATAGAAAAACCCCTTCCTTATGACAGGACAGGCAGAACACGCTCAGTACACAGCCCCAAATGCAGCATGAGCAAACGGCGCTTGCATGGATCCCCTTGAAATGAATGAAGCTGCAGCCAGCGCATCCATCCGGGGCTCTTCTCTATCATCGGGACCTAACCCTCCACTGTGCTAACTGCGTGGGGTTTTTCCCCCATGCCTTGAACACTGCAGAAATTGAGAGGTGACGAAGGAGGAGCAAAAATGGAAGGGACATAGATAGAGCCTCCAAGAACACTTACACGTATTTTGCTGAGACTTCGGACTGAGTTTTGCTTGATTTGTGACCAGGCAGGTAGAGGAATGAATAACCGCATGCACAAAAAGGAAAAAAATAATAATAAAACCACAGCACATTTAAGTGCATTTTTTTTTCTTGGAGATTTATTTTGTTTTAATAAATCTGACACCAGTCAGGGAGAGAGAAAAGTGTTGCAAGCCCAAAAAGAAAGCAGAGCACACTGAGGGTGCTGCAGATTCTTGCTCTCTTGAAGATGTTTCATCAGTATCTCTTTGAGCTCTCTCCCTAGACTCACGAGTTGTTGGATTTCCCCCTTTTTTGTTTGGGTTTTTTTTTTTTTTTTTTTTTGGTTGTGTTTTTTGTTTTTTTTTTTTTTAAAAAGCGAGCTTACTCGCCCGTGTGTTTTCCAAGCTTTCACAGCTCTAATAAATAAGGAGCACCTGTAAAACAGTAGCTTGACTTAAGTGAATCTGTACAAAGGAAAATATAGAAATACAGTATATACATAGTGCTCATAGTGCACCATCACTACAAGGCTCTGGTTCAACTGACTCTGCTACCCTGCTCCCAACACCGTTGACACCGTCAGAGACACTGCTCCTGCAAACTGTTCCTCACTTCCCCGCAGCAGCCTTATAGAAAAGGTGTACTCTGAACACTCGAGAGTGAACAATTGCTTTATTCGAGTTAGTAAACAGTTACACTGAATCACAAGGTGATCTGAAATTTTTTTTAAGTTTTTTTTGTGTTTTTTTTTTTTTTTGTGGTTTTTGTGGGGTTTTTTGTTTGGGGTTTTTTGGGGTTTTTTTTTTTTTTTTTTATTTGTCAGAATGGGATACTCCACGACTCTCTTACCAATTCAGTGCCAGTATAACATGCTCTAGTGTACTTTTGGACTCTTGGCTACAACTGTACAAGTGCACACAAGTAAATTCTACCCTGTTATCCTCCACCCACTGATTGAGGATCGAATTGCACATTTCTCTTAACCATGACAGGAGAAAGCAAACAGTGAAACAGAATCATGGGGGATCTTTCTCACTTTACCCTTGTTTTCATTGGTTTGTCCATACCATTCTAATTATCATGAAAGGGCTATGCATATGGAGAGATTGTCTCACTGCCTTCCTGGATCACTGAAAACCATCAGGGTTGAAATTTCATCCAAGTCTTTCGTGACGCCCAGCAAATATTCCCCTCAGATTATTTTACACCTTGAGGGAATTTTGGTCTTTAGTTCAACACTCTTGCTCTGTTCCCAAATGGGGCGCTATTTAGGGGAATTTAAAGAGAAAGCTGAGAAGAATAAACATTTACCGAGTTCTCTTGGCATTCAGTCTCTGAAAAACCACAGTATAAACTATTCATGCTGCTTCTTACATCTGTCAAATCAAAAATTAAAAGCCATAAAAGTGTAACACTGAAAATATGGCATTAGAAAGGATAAAGGTGGCCTTTGTAAAAATAACAAGGAAAGTATATTAGCCAATAAAATATTCTAACTCTTCATTTAAAAGTGCATCATGGGTAGGACAGAGATGACTCTGAAGCGTTGCTACTCCAGTATTACCCCTTTCCCCCATCAAAACTTGAATAGGTCCAAAACCATACAATGCAAATCACGATTCTTAGTGTAGCAGCAAAACCACAGCAGTTTTTGAAGGAAAAAAAAAAATTAAAAAAAATCCGTATCATTGTCCAGTCTCAAATATCTGAACTTTGAAGTCAGAGAGGGAAAAGTACCTATGTTGGTCCATGTGGTTTTTGAAACCAGGGTGAAAAATCCCCCCCAGCAAGAAACCAAGAGGAAAAGGCGTTCCTTGGAGGAGAAGAGGGGTGGTCGCAGGAATGCTGAGCACACTGTGTGGGTCCATGATGTGCTGTCTTCTGGGTCAAAGGCACCCGTGGGACCGAGGCTTCCTCGGAGGGGCTTCGTGACAGGAAGCTGCTTTCTCTGCTGGACTTACAGCCAGAGGGGGTGGTGAGCGGACCAGCTGGTGTCATTCAGTGGAGTGACGTGGTTTGCTCTGCTCCCTTTCTCCATGCAAGGTACCCTGTCGGCGAGCGTTCCTGCAAAGCAGACAAGCAGAGGTGGTCAGGGTGAGCAGCAGGAGACTCATCGCAGGCAGACTGGGCACCCCTTGAGCTTGCATACAGCCTCACGCTGGACGGGCAGCGGGGCAGAGGCACAAGCCCACTGCTTCGGCCTCGGCTGCCCCTCGTGCCGCAAAGGCTGTCGGTACATGCAGCCTCCGAGATGGAGGAATTCCTGCGATAAAAAGCTGGAAACCGATGTAATAATAGTTCATTCTCTGGGTTTCATAGAGCACCTTTCATCCTACAAGAGCACGGGTGAATAACGATACTTTGCGATTAGACAGTACCCTTCACCCCTTGATCTGAGTGTGTTTTACGGAGCTGGGATATACCACTCTCTGCATGCCACAGGCAGGAAAGTGGAGTCAGGGAAGCAGAAGCATTTGGACCAGGACCCTCCAGCACCTGGGATGGGGATAGGATGGGGAACACTGCACACACCGGGGCTCTCCAGGGACATCTCACTGCACAGGCTGGTGTGCAGCTCCACAGGGCTCATCAGTCTCACAGAGAAACTGGGATGCTACCCAGAGACAGCTCCACTCTCACGTAAATACGCATCTCCCACTAACTCCCTACAGAGCTAACTCTGTAGGCACTATCTGTGCTACGCGTGCAAACTGAAGACACCCCTCTTGGCCCTTCCCCAAATCCATACTTATACAAAGGAAAGATGTAGGCTCAACACAGCAAAACCGAGCTGCAATGAGGGAAGTCAGGCTGGAGTTCCCCACAACCTCCTTGGTCCTCACTTGGGATGATCCACAACCAGTCTTGTACCACCACCCTAGCAGCTCCAGCACCAGGGGGTCACAACCAGCAGAGCATGGTGGCTGACACTGCCTAGCATGACAAACAGAATTCAAATAAAGGCATTTTAGGACCTAAAGCAGAACTAGGCATTACTGTCACTGAGGTAAACTGCTACCAAGATCTGATATTTTCAGTGTTGAATGCATACATTTCCATGGACCATGTATGAGATGGGAACAAACCCATCCAGATCCTGCTAGAGCAGATCACAGAATCAGGCAAAGAATTTAACTTTGCAATTGTTCCCTTTTTCTATCCTGGTTCTCATTTCCAGGACTCATTCCAATTTCCATTTTTCTCCTGTTACCTGACCAGATGTATTGACTGCTTTTGTTTTCTTTCTTTTCTCACTTTTTAGGACACAAAACGAACGCATCCCACAGGACTTATTCAGACAACCCCTTCTGAAGCCCACCAGTGCTTTGACTGGGTGAACAATACTGGAGTAAACACAGCTTTATTCATTTGAGGCCTTCAGAAAGCTGCATGATAGCTCCCCTAAAATAAGGTGAGCTTTGCCAGTGCTGAAGTCCAAGGTCACGGAAATCTTTGGAATCATGATTTTGAAAACCCAAATCACCTTCTCATCAATCTAATGCAACTAACAACACCCCAGTGGTTATAAGCTCCTGATGCCTCAGTTTACCTAGGGGCTACTGGGTGGTACACCATGGCCTCATGTGCTTCTGCTTTCGTTGTCAGTTGATGATGTAGACTGCCTGGCAGGGACTGTCCTCTCTCTCTCTCTCCGCAGCATGCTTTGGACTCTGTCTCCTTCGATGGTATCTGCTGTCCCCTAAAGATTTGGACTGAAACTCTGAAGTACTTATTGGCCTTAATTTTGGTGCTGGGTCACATTTTCCTTCTCAGTCTGCTCCATGATCTCCCCTTCACAGTGGCTGCTCTGTGATCTGTCTCACCACTGTACTCATCCCCCTGCCAAACCTGCACCCTTCTCAAAGCAGAGACTGGAAGGCACATCGAGTATGTTGACCAGCATAAACTCCCAGAGCGCAGAGAGCACTATATCTAGGTTAAGGAGTAACATTTGGGCTTTCAGGCAATGTGCCCAGCAGGATGAGCTGCTTTGTGTGTACAAAGAGCTGTGGACAAGAACTAGACTGAGAACTGGGATGTATCCACCTACTAAGTACTTCCCATAAAGCACACAACTGCTTTCTGTCACTTTTTGGCTTGAAATCTTGCTCTGAGATTAACTAAACTAAAAAGGGAAGCAGAGAAAATAAAATCCACAACGTCTGTATGAAACTCCACTCTGCACTCCAGGTATTTTGCCTGCTCCTCTCTTTCCATACATCAACGGAAACAAATTTCCATCCCTCACTAATCAGTCTCAAATGGCATGGCATGGCATAGCACAGATTGATAAGTGATTTGGGGCGGAGGGCATAAAGAAGGTCCCTAGCTCTCAATGGTTTTCTGCCTGGCGCAGTCAGTTAGCTTTCTAAGTCCCGTCTGTTTTCCCCTCCTGCAGGTAGACTCAGTGTAACAGACTGTGCAGATTGGTGAGAAGGTCCTTCCCTGTTGGTTGGCTCATATGGAAGTCATTGCGTTTGAGGCGATGATCATCTTTGTAGCAATCAAGTCACAGAACAAAAATCCATACCAGGCATAGCACGCAAAGTTTTATGAAGGAATGAGAACACACTAGTCATCATCACTTCACAGTTAGGTGTTATACACCTCGTGCCAACGCCAGCGTGCATGACCAGCACAATAAAGTCAGCTATTTATAACTCCCCCAAAAACCAAATTACTTTATAGGGGAGCAATGTATGGTCTTCACCCCACCTGAACTTGCCCTCAACACGCATCAAATATTGCTTATCATCAGACAGAAAAATTGCATCAGTCACCAAAGAAGAATTTTTGGAAGCATAAAGCCATCCAGTTGAGCTTATGTGAGTTGCATTGAGGTAAGCGCACTGGGTTTCGCCTGCTTTCCAAAGCTAAGCGTGTCTGGGCTGATCCTGGGATGGAAGAGCACCTAGAAGTCAGAGGTGGACTGTATTTCCAGCCCCAGCAGGCAGCACGGAAAAGATGACAGAAAGAGAATGAGTAGGCTCATTTGTGCCCCACTGTCAATGCAGGGGGGCAAAAGGAGAATAACTCAACTGGATGATGACCTAGCTCAAGCAGATGTCTTGGAGGATCACCTCAGATAGCGACGCAGTGCTCTGAACAACAGGCGAGAGCCACACTGATGCTCTGTGTGGCTGTCAGTCATAACCTGAGCAATGGGCAGCTATGAAACAGGCTACACCAATGCAGAGCTTCCTCTTTGGTGTATGCCCTGACACGTGAGGATTTAAATCCTTGATCAAAACACCACAGTTAGAGCTTGGCAGGGCAGTTTTGCAACTGGGGCAAAGCCTCCTCAGTAAGCTTCCCAGCTCCCTTTCCAGGTACTGCTGCAGACCGACAGCCCTTCGTCCTGCGCAGCCCCTGGGACTGGTGTGGTGGGAAGCTTGGCCCTGCTTGGTAGAACCCATTGCTAGAGGTGCTCCTCGCTCCACTCCCCCTCCATGCCTCCATGCTGAGGAGATGGGTAGCTCGGCTGCAGGGACATTTCCTTCTCCCGCTCCCCCACACCCAAGCACCCATCCCTGTGTGCCCCCTCCCAGCACTGCCCCACGAGCCAAGTGTTGCCATGCTGGCAGCACGCTCCTGCTGGCAGCGATAGCCGCCAGAAATAGCTGCTTCTACCCAGTGCCCTCCTTGGTCATGTCCTACCTCCTCGGAAGGGACATGTCCTTGACATGGCTTAGGACACACGCATGCATGCAGACACACACGGGGTTTTTTTCTGTGGTTGCTTCCCCCTCGTTCTGCGCTCCATTGAACATTTCTGTCTCCAGATTCACATCTTATTGTTCAGAAAAAAAACTGGAGCCTGGGTGGGGAGGGCTGAGGCAACCGTTGATGTGGGCTGGCATGGCAGAGTTTCCATCATTTAGCACAGCACTTAATTCACCCGGACAATGAATGCTGATGTGCTAAAAGAGGCTTAGTTCATCTGGGACACGCATGGCCCTCGAGTAAAGGCACTGCAATTATTTTCTCAGGGAAACTGCTCTGAAGATAAACCACAAGAGTGAAGCTAAAGTCAGCATGGGAGCAAGTTCAGCCCTGGAAACACTCTGGAATCATCTGTTACTTGTAATAGTTCTGTAATTTATTTATTTATTTATTTTTAGCAATTCTTAAAGCAGTTCAAGCTTCTTCATTAAAACCCTTCCCTTTGAATACTTGATGATTTATCTTTCCATGAGCTAACTGAAGGGATGCCACATTGCAAGAGTCAGAGGAGGCCTTTAGCATGAATGGGATAACAAGCAGGGTTCTTAAGCATCATCCCTTGATTTTGAAGGTGGTGTTTTCCTTCTGCTCTGGTCTGGTTCCTTCTCAGTTTTGGGTCAGATACGCAACTCAGGCTCTCTCGCCTACTGAAACGTGAGCTGTAATCTGAGCAGACATTGTGACTTGAAGGGATGCATTGGCTAAGAGGCTTGGGATTAGCCCTCCTTTTATGCCTAGGCAGAAGAAGTGGTAGGGACAGCTTAGTCACCCCCAACTCTGTGACTGAATTGTTGCAGGGATTGCACCAGAGGCCGTGCTTCCAATCGTATCCAGTCACCTTGCAGGCAGGGAAGGACCTTGAGGAAGAAAAATGAACTGGAAAGCAGAAGGTCTGTTGTGTGCTGACTCCTGCTTCGCTGCATCTATTCCTAGAAAAGCCTATGGGGAAATTTCACCAGTTTACACCTATGTTCAGCCCCTTGTGGGTACCTTTAGTTTGGTCTCTCACTATACTCACTCAATGTATATTAAATTGAACCCTGAAACTAGCTACTGAAGTTAGGAACAGGGATGTATGTCACTGTGCCCTTGTTATGTAGTAACAAAATGAAGGAAACACAGTTCCAGGCTCTTCTTCATGCTCCTGCATGGCCCAAGGGAAAACTACCTCCTAAGAATAGGGAGCAAATGAATCATCACGGTGGAAGAGACCCTGAGAGTCACCAAGAAGATGTGGGCTCCTCACTCCTGTATCTACCAGACAGCCAGTGTATTGAAGAGAAATGAGGCAGGAATGAAGCCCTCTACCCCATTCAAATTTGGTGACAATTGTTCAAAAC